CCCTGGAGGCCGCCTGGCTGCTGCTGGAGTTCGCGGGGCGCAGGGGGGACGCGGATTTGGGGGCTCGGGCCGTGGCTGCGCTGGTGGAGGGACCCCTGAAATGGGGCTGGGACCCCCAGCACGGGGGGCTCTTCTCCTTCCTCGACGCTGATGGGCACTGCCCCACGCAGGTAACCCCAAAAATCACACCTGGGAACCCCCAAAATTCACACCTGAGAACCCAAAATTCACCTGGATACCCCAAAAATCACACCTGGGACACCCCAAAATTCACCTGGGACACCCCAAATCTCACCTGGGACACCAAAATCATACCTGGGACCCCAAAATTCACCTGGGAACCCCCAAATCTCACCTGAGAACCCAAAATTCCATCCTGGGAACCCAAAACCACACCTAGGACACCCCAAAATTCACGTGGGAACCCAAAAACCACACCCGAGAACCCAGAATTCCATCCTGGGACACCAAAATCACACCCCAAAATTCACCTGGGACACCAAAATCCCACCTGGGATCCCAAAATCTCACTTGGGACACCCCAAAATCCCATCCTGGAACACCAAAATCCCACCCAAGGACACTAAAATCCCACTCAGAAACTCCTGAGTATCCCAAAATCCCCATTTCCCCTCAGTTTTCCCCATTTTTCTCCCCAGTTCCCAGCTGGAGTTTTCCATGAAGCTCTGGTGGCCTCACATCACCCCCATTTTCCCCTCAATTTTCCCCATTTCACCCCCATTTTTTCTCTGTTTCTCCCCCGGTTTTTTTTTCCCCAAATTCCCGTTTTTTCTCCCCAATTCCCAGCTGGAGTGGTCCATGAAGCTCTGGTGGCCCCACGCCGAGGCCATGGTTGCCCTCCTGGCCGCCCAGCGCTTCCAGCCCCGGCCCAGTTTGGTCTCCCAGTTCCTCCAGTTGGCCCAGTTCACCTTCGACAAGGTGAGGAATTGGGAGGTTTGGGGGAGTTTTGGAGAAATTTGGGGAGTTTTGAGGGATTTGAGGGGATTTTTGGGATATTCTGGGGGATTTGGTGGGATTTTGAGGGAATTTTGGGGGAATTTGGGGAAATTTTGAGGGGACTTGTCACCCTTTTGAGGGGATTTGGGGAGATTTTGTGGGATTTGGAAATATTTTGGGGGTTTTGGGGATATCTGGGGGGAATTTGAGGCTACTTGGGGGTTACTTGGGGGGATTTTGAGTCTTGGAGAGATTTTAGAGGGAATCCTAGAGAGGTCCCTGGGGGTTTTGAGGGAGTTTTGGGAGAATTTGGGGAAATTTTGAGGGGATTTGGGGATATTCTGAGGGGATTTTGGGAGATTTTGTGGGATTTGGGAGATTTTGAGGGGATTTGGGAGATTTTGTGGGGGTCCCTGGGGGTTTTGAGGGAATTTTGGGGGTTCCTGGGGGGGTTTTGAGTGGGAGTTTCGCCTTTTTGAGGGGGGGGTCCCACTTTAAGGAGGAGGGGGGGG